TGTGCTGAATGTGGGTTCCAGACCATTAGTGTGAGTTTTATTGTTGTGGAGCCCTGTGATACACTCAGACACACAGCACACTCTAAGCACCCTGAACAGAGGGACACCAGAAGGGATCTATTCCTGAGAACGATTGCCCATCCCGGAGCCTGGGGCTTAGATCTATGTTTATAAATATACAACAAGAAATTGAGGTATGATGATTGGCGCTGGTAAAATATAACAAAATATCCCCAATGCCAGTGATCACCTACATTAGCACAACATAAAATATAGCAAATATTCAGACAAAGTCGGGAGTGCAAATATAACGCTAGTAGCAAATACTTATAGAAATCTTAGTAATTGTCACGGCTGCTAGTGTGGTCCAACACGCAGAAACTATGTAAATATATACATACAAAAGGAAAGGAAATAAAAGGACAGAGCGTAAACCGGACCTTAGAATGGCCGGACTAACACGCTAGAGATAGAGAATGGTCAAAGGGAAAGCCGAGGTCAAGGAAGCCAGAAATACTCAGATACCGTTTAAACAAGCCAAATCAGGGGAACCAGAATTCGGAATAATCAGGGAAATGCCAAGATCAGGATACCAGGAAGTAATATTCACAAAGATAAACGCACTCTAGGGAACCAGGAACAGGAAACCACAACAGGGCAAGGTACTGGGGTGAATTAGGGATTTAAATATCCCTCTCTAGGCTCTGATTGGTCAGAGGGTGACCTCTGACCCCAGAACATGCGCGTGCGTTGACGTCATGACGTCACGCGCACATTCGTATAATTTTGGGGGCTGGAGCCATGGATGGACGCGACCTCATGGTTGGCACCATCTTGGATTTTCCCGAGCGGCGTGGAGGAACGGTTCCCGGCTCGCCGCTGAGCAGGTAAGCTGAGTGAGTTGGTGCGGTCGTGCCGTTCGGGCACGGACGCACAAGGCGGCGAGCCGGGGGCCGTGACAGTAATAAGCAGTATTTGGTTCAAGTATTTACGTTATTTAAACCAACTACTGCTAGATACGAAGATTTCTATAATTATTTGCTGCTAGCGTTATATGTGCACTCCCCACTTTGTCTTTTTATATGTTAGGTCTAGGTTTGATGAAAGTTTTCCGGTCTGTGGATAATATTATAGAATATGTGATTAATATTATAAAATATGTGAAAGTTGCCCGGTCTACGCATAGATAATTTTATATAATATAATATATGAAATTACCTGGTCTATAGATAATATTATATAATATGACGATATATAAAAGTTTCTCAGTCTTTTTCTAATATTATATAATATGATATTTGAAACTTCCCGGTCTATAGATAATATTATATAATATGATATTTGAAACTTCCCGGTCTATAGATAATATTATATAATATGTTATTTGAAACTTCTCGGTCTATAGATAATATTATATAATATGACGATATATAAAAATTTCTCGGTCTATAGTTAAAATGATACAATATGATATATGAAATGATAACCCTGGATTAGATAACATTAGTCACTCACATCCAGAAACTATGATTCTACATCTACGTTTTTACCCTCATGTAACCCCGATGGCCAGCTATTGTATACACTATTTTCTCTTTATTAAAAAGCTCGTCTGGAAATCTCAATGTGGAACATGTTTTATGTGTAATTTCTTTGTGTTGTGAGTTTTTATTTTCGGGTATGTTTTTGATTAGGGATTGTGTGATGTGTCCATGTTTGGCTGACCGTGGTATAGTGTTTGATGTATTTTCTGTGTCTCTATTTAAATTGATACTTTATGGAGGTACTCGCGTTCTCCGTTGCACGGTCAGCCAAGGTAATATGGTGCGGGGTAATTTAAGACCTCTTTTTACTCTCCTTTTTTTTTTTTTTGGCTGTTTTTTCATCTTGTGGTTTTGCTTGAAAATGTTCTGTTTGGGAAGGGTTTCAGACAGATTCTTACTCCACATTACGGCATTTTCCTGGTAACTCCACACTCTCTGAATTAGAGGACAATTTGCTTCCCACATGGGGCTTTAAAAACAGCTGGATCTCACAGCAAAACCATCTACATTTGAGGTAGATTTTCTTTTTACTGCTTCCCCCTCCGTCTTCCTCTAAAAAACCAAATTCCTCCCTAAAAATAAACAAATATTTAATGCTGCTATCACAACTTTCACTGTATCCAGAATTTTGTGGTAGTGTCATTTTATGTATGTGTTTATGTATGTGTTTATATGTGTGTTTATTTGTGTGTGTTTATGTATGTGTTTATGTGTGTGTTTATGCGTGTGTTTATGTATGTGTTTGTGTTTATATGTGTGTTTATGTCTGTGTTTATGTATGTGTTTGTTTTTATGTGTGTGTCTATGTATGTGTTTATGTGTGTGTTGATGCATGTGTTTATGTATGTGTTTGTGTATATGTGTGTGTTTATGCATGTGTTTATGCGTGTGTTTATGTGTGTGTGTATTTGTGTTAGTGTGTATGTGTGCTAGCATGTGTTATAGTGTGTATGTGTGTTAAAAATGTCTGTGTTTGTGTGTATGTGTGTTAGTAATATGTCTGTGTTTGTGTGTATGTGTGTTAGTAATATGTCTGTGTTTGTGTGTTAGCGTGTATGTGTGCTAGTATGTGTGTTAGATTATGTCTGTTTGTGTGTTAGTGTGTATGTGTGCTAGTATATGTATATGTGTTAGTGAGCATTGGTGTATGTGTGTATGCTTCTTAGTGTTTATGTGTGTATGTGAATCTGTATGCTAATAGTGTGAGTGTTGCTGTGTGCCTGTGTATGTGTGTTAGTGAGTCTGTGTATGTGTGTCTGTGTATGCTTCTTAGTGTTTATATGTGTGTGTATCTGTGTATGTATGTTAGTATGTGCCTGTGTATGTCTGTTAGTGTGTGTCTGTATGTGTGTCTGAGTGTTAGGGAATTTATGTATATGTGTTCTAGTGTGCCTGCGTATGTGTATTTGTGTAATGTGTGTCTATGTATGTGATATCTGAGATACAAATAGCAGAGTGTGGCGGAGACCGCTGTCACTAAGTACCATGACCACTGCTTATTTGTGTGGTTTCCCCTTGTATTCTGTGTCTTCCCATGTATACAGGTCATGTATTTTGCCCTGTTGACCGTTGGGGAGCGCTCATGCGAACAGAGCCCGTTCGCCTCCCAACCGTGGACCACCCCGATACTGTAACCGCGGCCGGTTCCCTTATTTACCACTATAATGTCTTAAAGCATAGAACTTAGCAGAGCTAACCATACAGATATCTTAGCCATCATTTTATATAGTTAGTAAGAGATCCTCTATTTAACATATATAAATAATTGAGAATACAATATTAAATAAGGATTGTCTTGGAAGCAATAAAGTTTTGTCTTTTTAGATATTAAATAAAAATATAAATATAGACATATAAAATTAAACTAAATGCTTGCATATATCATTAATAGGATAACATACCCTTCTGAACATGTCATCATGTCAGCCTCTCTGTCATTTTAAGATGGAGCAACGTCTGTCTCTAAGTCTCTCCTCTCTGTCTTAACATTTAAAAGTACACTTATTTATACCTTAGGTGTCGTCATTTTAGGGTTATCGTAGTTCATATATGAAAAAGTAACACTTCTTTTACTTTATTCATTTTAGGACCTCCCTTAATTCGGCAAACATACAAGGCCATAACTAAAGGGTGCACACGTCATGGACATTTTCCTGACTTAGGTCAAGATGGCATCTTAAAGTCTGAACATCCTTATCTACTTAAGGTTACCACAGTATATTGTGTACTGAAAGAGTAGTAGCATAGCCTTGAAGCTTGTTTATGCATTATTGTTATTGTAATTCGTCTGGGACAAAATGGCGCAAACATATTATGCACTGTGGGTAGGTAAGAGGTTATTGCTTAAAGAAACAGTTATGAAAAACAATATGTTCCATTTCTAACCCCTTGTCAGTTTGCAATATCTCTTAAAGACAAAGTACACAGTTTAAGAAATACAACATTTCATTCTAAAACTTGTAATATTTGCATTTGCCCGTAACACCCTCTCCATTAAACTGTGGGCATTGTAGCGCATTTCTTCCTTAAATTAGTGAACCAAAGTTCTCCAACAGTCTTTAGGTTTTTTTTGTGCTCCCAGCATCTTAGATCATTGTTGTAACAGTAAAACATCCGTAGTGTGATCTTTGCCTATAAAGGTGGTTGATTAAAATGAGCAAAGCTTTTGTCTGGGAAAGAATTGAAAAGAACACCAGGTTCCAGAGTAAGATATTCTTGGATAGATCCGGATACGAATTGTAATCCAAAGTTAAAAATAGTAATTGTATTTGTAATCCAAAGTCTTTAAAGGCCTGTAGAAGTTTACATTCCTTAGATACATTGCTGGAGGTTGTGTTTGTAGAATACCCGGGTATTTGTTGTAGAGTATAGGTTGTAGAGTCCAGCTTTCCAAGTATTTGGATAGAATTGGTCGCAGATATTGAATCAGCATCATCTGTTATCACTGTGGTGATGGTGTTGGTATTTGTCTTTGTCTTTGCTTTTTTTATTTTGTTTTTTCCATGAAACATTTTTACACCGTTTATGATGTGTATAGATTGGATACTCTCCGATATTCTTTTACAGAATAAATTAATTGACAGCATTTCCAAGACACTGTCTTAAGTGACATGGATCCTGTTATAGTAAATGTTATGTTGATACAGCAATCGAAGTGGATTCTCAGGAACGCCTCTTTTTGCTGTATTGGAATCTTTGTAACATCTCAGTGATAGACAACTCACTGACATCAGGTGCTGTTGTGCTAAAAATGTTAACAGGTAAAATCTGTGGAAGAATCTTCACATTTGTTATACTTTGTATAATAATGATAGATGAAATAGTAACATAGTTAATCTTTCTAGTGTTTTGTATTAAAGATAAACACCCTTGTATATGATTTAGAGATATAAGGATAATTTGAAGCAGCAAAGTATTTACCACCTTTGTTCACAATGGTATGTAAAATTACATTCTCTTTAAATGTTAAAAATACTCCTTTATGCAAAATCTCTCAATCTATTTAGAATAGTTGCTAATTGGAAATATGACGTTATTCATCTTTCTTTGACCTGTTAGGGAGAAGACAACTTATTCCCTAAGTTACAATTAGTAAATATAATAACTACAGTTATTAGTAGCTTAAAATACCAGAAACACCCAAAAATTGTCTTAAAAACATTTTTTACCAAAATCTGACAGCCATTGTGGAAAGTCACGTTTGTGAGATTGAATGCTTAACAATGTGAATCTTAATTGTTTAAGTATATTTTTCAGTGGCTGTTGGGTGTAACTTAAGGACCAAACTTCTGGAATAAAAGGGAATCGTGACATGTCACACATGTCATGTGTCCTTAAGGGGTTAAGATGATTTGAATTTATTATTTCTAAAAATGAGTTAAAAAAAACACTCAGAAACAATATTGAAGGTATTTATATTTTAGCTCAACCTTTGTATAAGTGGGTCTAACACTTCCATAACAATAGATATCAGAATCTGTTGTAACTATAACTGGTTGAAGTCGGGGTATGTCACAATCAGAATATGAATTAATAATTGTGACGGTAGTAGAAAATATCCCCGTCAAGCATTCCCTTCTTCCCATAAAAGAAAAGCACTCAATATTCCATAACTAGAAATATCCCTGGAATCGCCGAATAATCCACACATGAGCCAAAGCTCAATGCTGGAACAAGACTGATTTACTGGCACACAGAACTCACAATTAAGGCAACACAAAACTCCTCCTCTGGGCCAGGCTAGATAATTGAGTTTCTACAATACACAAAGCTCAATTATCTGCTGGCCAGAAACATTACAATTTATAACAATTTCAGAAACATACTTTTTATAAGACATACAAATATACTTTTGACATCCCTGGGTAGCTGAGGATACTGGTAGTCACATATCCAAATCTCACGAATTTCCGTTTGGTAGTTTCCGTGTCGCATCGTGTGGAAGTTTGACCGGCTTGCCATGTGGAGGTATCCGAGTTACAGTTCCATAGACTCAGTAGCAAGAGCCGGTCTCCGTTCGCATCAAACTACACGAAAACCACCGTTCGTATGGTACAGCTGGTTACCTGTGAACGTTCCCCTCATTCGGTAGATACTATCTACCGAACGCCAGTTTGATTCGTGAAGGGGAACGTATTCATCCAGGACTTCCATGGGGACCGGGCGTTCGCATGGTTCCCGTACCGAAAACAGTTCCATGCAATTCATGCGTAAGCCCCGCTGACCGCATTCGTGAGTTTTAAGATGGCCGCCATCCTTTGTTCTCGCCACGTGTTCGTATGTCGAATGGTGGCCACCTAGTAGCAATTAAGTTGCGGTTTTCTCTGTGTTCTAATTGCTACTTGCTACCCAGGGTGTGTGGTCCCCGTTCGGTACACGAATACATTCATTCTCAACAGTTTGAACCGAACAATATAGACATTAAAATAGCAGGGAGAGGATTAAACTGAAGCATATAGGCAAATACATAAAAGTCCTTCACAATAATCATATGCATGATATATTGATTAAACAATCAATAGATGTGGCAGGATCATTGCCACCAGGTATAATCACAGACCAAATAACATTTTCTTGAGAACCCGATAAAATATTTGATTACGTGTATTGGAAATCAAATTTTATAATTGAGAATACATCATCCTTGGAATCTGTTCAACCCTTGGGTTGCAGGTTACAATCCTACAATCCAGCACAGAGTTCCACAGTGCTGGGTGAGGAATCCCATTCACCTAAAATGATGACACTTTCATTTGGTACATGGAGCTCCCTCAGGACTGCTTTCTAGCTGGAACTGGGGAAAACAGCCGCTCTTCTGCCCAACTCACTGTGTCTTGACTGGGGCTCCCTCTGGAGCTTTTCCACCTGACCAGGCTGAAGCTCTCCTTCCAGGCAGGTATCGTCCCCTCTGCCTATTCCTCTGCAGCACTTCCTTCCAGGCAGATATCCACCTCTGCCTGTAATGTGATTTATTTTGCCTTTCCAGAGGCACTTGCGGCTCTCAGGCCTAGCTCTCTTGATTTATCCCAGGGCAAGAAGGATCATGCAGCCAGCCAAAAGGTATAACAACTCTGTGGCTGGGATCCCTAAACATCCACACAAGACACCGTTCCAAATGGAACTAACATGCAAAACTTTATATTTTTCTTGGGACTGGCCCAAATGCTCCTTACATGTAACCAGGGCCAGATTAAGAGCCCAGTGGGCCTGGTGCTGACAATTATGATGGGCTTAATTACAAAATCTAATCGACCAAAAACACTAAAACAGTCCTGCCTCCCAAGCGTCGTGTATCTGATGGAGATAGTACTGGAGGGAAAATTACAGGCTGTAGCTATGAGAAAACACATACCCACACTTTCATCTTTCAAGTAAATTCATACCCACTAACAGCAGAGTCCATTAAAGCAGGAAGTCTATAGATGGGGTAAAAGGGTGGGCCACTGATGCAAATCACATGACCAGAACTGCCGAAAGGGGCGAACATACCCAAAAAGGGGGCATGTCTGTGTCCCCATGTCATTGAGAGACCCATTGTATAATGGGTACAGGGTGACTTAGACATTGGAACAATTTAGGAACCTTTGTAAAGTGTCCTTCTGCTCCCAGTGATGGTGATTACTGTCACATCATTCAATGCCTCTGCTCTCACCCCTCCAAATAGCGCTATGAAAGGATAATTCTTGGGAAATTGGAAAGGGTGCTGGGCTGGGAGGCATGGCGTGGAGAGGTAAATGGGGTGAATATAGTCCTTATTAGAAAGAGGTGGTGGTTGTGAAACATGTAAAAGTCCTGGGTGACCGGGAGGTCTGTCACTAACGTTAGTCCCATGAAATCCACCTGAAGCCCCTGTTAATACAGTTGCATGCATTGTAGAAGCACACTGCCCATGGCTGTGATCATGGATTGTATATCGTGACTGTGTCATGCTGGGTCACACTGTATACATGCGCATGTTTTGCATTCCCTGCTATTACTGTCTGTGTCAGACATTACATGATGGCACTCTGTTCTTTCATACTGAAGCATTATTGTCTCTTCTTTCCTGTTTCCACCAACGTCCTCTTTAAAGTGACTCTGTCAGAGTCTTGCTTAAATCACAAAGGACGTGTCTCTTGTTTGCGTCTCTGTCATAGGTATGTAGGTACACAGTTATGTGGGTAGATTGCTGAGCAGCGGAACACCTCAACCGTCTTTGGATAAGCCATCTTTATGCCAAGGTCTTAGTTTCAGACAGTTGTACTTTTCTTGTATATTTCTTACTTATTTGGGTCTTGCGTTGGTCCAGCCATGTCTGTTTGTAAGTCATAAAGTGCATGCTATTGGCAGACTGACGATTCCAGATCAGATGACGTTCTCTTGCCATTTACTGTGCATTGTTTATCTCTTCCTCTGGTGTGTCCACTGATCTTTCAAACCCAGGCATCAAAGTCAGCAAATCCAGTTCACAATGTGAATATGCTTCCATAAAAGGCCGTCTGTTATATAACGCTGCGTTTAATTGTGTTGTCCATATGGCGCTGTTTATTCTGCCTCTATCTGTGCATACCGTCCAAGCCAAAGTGTACATCAATGTAACAAGCTGCGCTTACCACTGTTTATTTCAACCCATGGAATGTTTTAACATTAAACAAATATTTATTGCGAAATTAATATACATCCATGAAGGAAGATATAACGCTTATTGCTGGTATAATCAAGCTTGTTTATTTCCTGGATCCTAGTATCAAGGCTGTCCTTTGTATAAATAAAAGCTGGATAAAAATACTTACATTTCTTGGAATATTGCGTCACTTTAGTCCTGCGTTTGACCACAAAAAAACTACTGGGTGGCAAATAACCAACAGGTATAGACACTTGAAACAAGCTAGGATTTTATGTTTTGAAAGTTTGGACTCTCTCTGCATTTATTTTAGTCCCTTTAACTTGTCTATTTCTCCAATCAAACATCAAGACTTCCAATTTCACCTGGTCCCAATTGCACCCCTAATAGTGGGAGGTAAACTTGTGCACGGTGCGATTGTTCGGTTGGCCAAATAATTTTTCCCCAAATAATTTTTTTTTGAGGGATACCTGCATGTCGGTCATGAAACAGTTCAGTCAAATATTGTCCAAGGAAAAGTATTAAGGGAAACATTCAGACAAACCAAAAATGGTTTCAAAAGTATGTCAATCAGTATACTGCAAAATATATACATACTATAAATATTTACGGCACATTTTCCCACGGCCTGATTTACTGGTTATATGGTTCAAAGATCAAATGAGAAGGATAATCAA